TAGAAATAATATGCGCCTAGTTACAGGCATTATGACTGGTCATTGCCAAGTACGGAAGCATCTCCATATCATGGGTCAGTCAGAATCCGCACCCTGCAGGGAGTGCGAACAAGGAGATGAGACCATCGAGCATATCCTCTACGATTGCTCGACGCTCTCATTTATTAGAAGATTTGTGTTCGGCGAGTATCTGTAGGCTGGCTCACGAGCTAGGATGTGCCTATAATCTTAGGAGGATGCACAATGAGCCTTGTAAGGCCCAAGTACCATGGGGGTAACCCACCCTCCACACCCTACAGATACAGATCATCTTATAGCTAGAGAAAACGCTTTTAAGCTATATCCCGAGTTTCTTTGTAGAACGTAAATATCCCGTCAAAAATGCTTGCAAAGGAATTTTTTTATTGTTATTGACGTCTAGAAGCATAATATATTTCATTGCTAGCAAAAATCGAAAAATCGAATTTCACAGATGACTTGACCGCTCTCATCACCGGGACATAGTACAACAAATAGCAAGAAAAACACGACGTGCCACTTTTTGCAGTCAGATAAGGGACTATTGGCAACATACCTAACTGTAAAAATGTCAGCTGTTTTTCTATTTTTTGAAAAGACTCACAATAAGGTTTGTATAATATATTTGTTAATCGTCTAGTCAAAAATTATAATCACACTACACGAAATTTGATGCCCCTAATCTAAATATTTGTTCATTGAAGAAACAATAATAAATTTATTGCATCTACGTATTCTACATTAATATGTATATTTTAATTAATTATTACAATGTTATTTTGCATCATTTGGATTATTTGTATCCATGTGGTTTTGGGGGTTCTATTAAAAATCGCAATTAGGTTTGTCGGCTGGTGCATAAGTGCTGTAGAAGTATCACATCTAAATTTCACAAAAAATATTTTACTAAAATATACGTAAAAAAGAGTTTATGGATAATATCAATAATATAAATTATTAACTAGTACCGATCTATCCATAGCGCGCGAACATATCTTACTATCATTTCATAGCTGAGAATAAGTCCAGAGCGGCCCAATGAAAGACTTGACAAAAGCTCGCCAGGTAATTTTAATCTCTTAGATGGGTCGCTTCAGGATGGTCTGTGCACAATTTGGGCCGCCTGTCTGCGCTCATCGTCTCGCCTCCCGCAACGCCGAGACACATAGTGTTTGGACAAAATTTTTGCCAAATCGGCAAGATTTGTTTATAGTTTGTCGCACATGTAATGTGATTTTATTTCGGCTTTGTAGATTATTAGATTGTGTAAATTCGCCAACGCGCGCTTCCTTTGTATATCTGTATCTGTAACTTGTGGAGGGTGGGTTAACCCACGACACTTAGCCTCACTATGCCCATTGTGCATCTTTTTAAGTAAATAGGCACCTTCTAGCTCGTGAGCCAGCCTACAGATTTAATGTAGTTAACAACGTCGCCAAGAGGTACTTCTCTTATATCGGCCGGTGTTAGCCAATTCTAGCCAAACACAAATCTTCTAATAAATGAGAGCGACGGGCAATCGTAGAGGATATGCTCGTTGGTCTCATCTTCTTGTTCGTACCGCCTGCAGAGTGCGGATTCGACAGTCCCATGATATGGGTCACTTGTCCTTTTTTGAACAGGACAGTCCTTTTTTAAAGCTTAAAATGTCCTTTTTACGGCAAATGTTCTTTTTTACGACATTATGACAAATTTCTTTTTTGTAGGAAATATACGCTGAGGTCCTTTTTTTTTAGAAGCTCGAAAAGAGGAGGAAGATGATTTTTTTTAGTTCGATGCTTTTTTTTAGAAGTTCACTAGATGAATGAATGAGGACTTTTTTTGCTTTTTATATACCAGAGCCCCTGTCAGCATCGTAGTCCTTTTTTCACTTTTCAAAAAGGTGGCAACCCTATATGGAGATCCTTCCGTACTTAGCAATGTCCAGTCAGAATGCCTGTGATCAGGCGCAGATTATGTCTAGTTATAGTCAGGTATTTGTTAGCTGAAGTGTTGTCACGATAACTTAAAAGCTCTCTGGCAAGTCTGCAGCTTCTTGTTTCATCCCATTTTTCCCTGAATTTCACAAGGGAATGTTATTTAATTAGATTTGTCACTACCGATGTTGTCAGTCCAATTAGAAAGGCTTTTGTACATGAAAGACATCAATGTAGTTTATAAATTAATAAATTGCTTTTTTAAATACTCGTATAAGTTTGCTTATAAAAAGGACGGCAGAATAGAATTAATGTATGAAAAGTGGGTGAATAAAAACTGTAAAATAAAAATTGCTTTTTATTTTGGGAGGGAGGATGCAGAATCTTGCAGAACACCCAATGTCTCTAACCACGAGACGACACTTATTTAGGTAGATATCTATATACGTAGTTATCTATAATATTGTAGAAAATACAACTTCTTGACTATTTTATCTTCAATTTAATTATTTTTTTATAGTAATAATAATTTATTTGCCAATGGTAGTGTACAATATCTTCACAATATACTAAATTAAATAATACAGCAGTAAATAAATGAAAGAAATGCTCAAATAACTTCTGCGAATAACTACTTATCTATGAGTAGATACATTCAGTTTATTATTTCAATTTCTCATGTAATTTTAAAGAATGACATTATACGATGTTTTAATATAACAGTAACCAATTTGTAAACTTAGAGATATTTAAAAATTCCTACATTGTTTTCTTGAATACATTTTTTGTTTAATTGTTTTTAGTATTATTTTGTTTTTTTTATTGAATTTTTTGTTTGCCTATTTTTTGTGGCTTTTATTTTAGAATCAGTGATGAATTGCACAAAATCTAATTTTGTTTTTAAACTTTGACTCATATTAGTTATTTATGTGCTATAAAATTTATTTTAAATAATGTTATGTACAGAAATTAAAAATGTTTAAAAAGGTACTTGTAAGATATCTAAAGCTGATTTAAATTGTTTCCATTGATTTCTCCTTTTTTATTTATTTTTTACTCCCTTTTCCTTTGTCCTTTCAGGCCCCGGATATGGGTTAATTTTATGGATTTTTTCCACCCATTTTCTATTTTTTATTTTTATCATCATTTTCATCTTCTCCAATGTGTTCCCTATCCTCCTTTACGCCTCTGTCGTTTGTTGTATCTTTTTTTCTTTACCTTCCTTTTCCTTTTTGTTAGTTTTTGCTTCATGTATTTCTTTTCCTATATCAAATGAGCATATTTATTCATAGTGTACTTGGTGTAACTATTGTGTTATATATTCTTAATACTTTTGTTTTTTTTTTGATAAGTTTTTTGCCTAAGCCTTTATTTATTTCCCTTGTCTGACATTTTCGCTCTGAATGTCAACTTAAGACTATCTTTCCATCATTGGTATAATACTTCCAAAGTAACAAATATGTTATAATATTTTCACTTCTATATTTTGCATTTTATATTTGTTTTATTGTTATCGTTTTCATTAGTCTTACTTTTCTCTATAACTAATGATTTTCATTTTTAATTGCTCTATTCGTTTTACTCTTATATCTAATTGTTTTTGTTTCTGAATCTGCTATTAGAACTGTATCATTCACTAACTTTGGGACTTTTATGTTTACCGGTTATAATCTATTGTTTTCGCAAGCATTTCTCATTAATTCATTATCAAGAAAAGTTGAAATTTTGTTTTGATAGAATATCTGTAACAGGTAACAGGTGTCAAGATATACTCAAGAAAAATTTTCAGTGGAACGAAATTTCAAATACTGATATTAATGTTCAATGTTCTTTTAAATACCAACTTACTTTTCTTCTTCGTGCATTCCTAATTTAAAATGTGTGAGTAAAAATATAACTGAATAGTAAATATCAAAAAACTGTATTAACCGAGGTATTAACATTAAATTTAATATCGTTTCAGGTAATGAACAGGCACTTATTATGAAAATATCAGGTCCCTATTACCTACTAGGTGTGATTAAAGGAATTAACAATGATCCATTTTTTTTTTAAATATTGATCATATGTATGCGAATTTCCTTCAAAGCTAAATCATATTTACAGGTTTAGTATTTTTTACCCGTATAACTAATACACGAATAGTGTATTCTTAAACGATCAAGGAATGGTACTCATTTCCCACGAGAATGGTATTTACAGTATCAGTATTACTTATGAGTTGAACACTATACTTTTTCTATGGCTATATAACAGGCTGCTACCCAATTTTAATTAGTTTAAATAGTTTATAACAACAAAGTGGCAGCTCTCTTCTAGATCATTCTTGAATGTTTAAAATTTTATGGAATACATGATTTAATTAAAATAATTATAGGGAATTGCTACTTTGTGTTAGATGAATATCTGTATTAAAATTATCGATTAAGGAAATGTACCTCAATTCTTAATCAACAATAGTAGAGAAAATGTACTTTTGTATTATCATAGAAAAATATAATAAAACACAACACACTTCAAAATAATGTTGTTCTCCGAAGGCTGTGTTTAAAATAATATGAATTTTTTTTATGAAAAATATAATAATATTTTGTAAATGATATATCGCTACAAAGTTAAAAATATTTTTAAGCATTTTCTTTTAACGATTTTGTTAAAAGATTCCCGAAATTGTTCAGACTCCACACTTAAATATGTTTAATTTTAGCCAACATAGTCCTAATTATTTTTAAAATTTATTTTTGTTATCCTAACGAATCATTTGTTAAATAAAAAATATATTTATTTACATATTAATCCAAACTATTATAGATTCATTACTAGAAAAATATTTGGGTTGATGCTGAAGAAATGTCATTCAAGTTATTTTTCAATTAAAGATTATATTTTCCAACCCAAATTATTTGATCTGCAATATTATTATTTTTTTAAACAGGTTCACATTTTTTAATAATCAAATAACCCATCATTTCCCAAAATGGAAGTGGTTAATCGTGAGTCACAACTTCTTCGAAACCAGGAGGTAAATAATATTAAAATATGATAAAATAGAGGCAATATACTCACCGACAACATTTTGTACGATTATCCTTTCATGAAACAAACAAAAAAAATATAAACAACTCTCACATATCAGTAGAAATATCCAACTAAATTGCACCGGTTGCAAAAGACACTGCAAGAACCCCTCCTAAGCGAAAAAGAAAAAAATTAAAATTCAAATCACAGAACGGATAGGCCCACACCGAATATTAAAATGCGATGTGAAAAAAAAAAGATATGCCGCGCCGAAGAAGTGGCTCTGCTTGCGCGATGGTCAATAAAATCCTTCTGGCATAAATACTAATAAGAATGTACAAGTCTGCAAGATGGGCTTGGTAAGAAGGTGAAAGGTATAAACAATATGGGCGGGGGAATACCATAATAGCTATTTTTAACCTGTTATGATTATTTTGGGTGCATATTGGTTTGTTTCGATAACATGATTTTATAATAAATTTGAATTATCAATTATTATGGGTAGAATTGTAACATATTGGTGTATGAATTAAATGATGGATATTAATATAGAAATAGGTAGGTGCTTTCCCACTTTTTAAACAAAGACATTCTCTGATATTTCGTTGTGCCAATGATTGCAAGATTGAAATATTAAATTTCACAAGGATACGACTTACTAATTCATTATTTTAACTTAGTCCATAGTTTGCTCTTTGATCCCAATTAAATAAGTGTTCAGGTGATGATAATATGAATACTCTGGTGCCAATTTCCACTTTAACGCTTTATAAACTGTATACGATGGATTCCGTAGGTAAGGCTTGTATGCTTTAAAATTGCAGGCGCAAATCTAGGAAAATTTGGGAGGGGGTAAATAATATTATTATAAATTCATTAGTCCATTTAAAAAATAATGAAAAATATGCGCTCTTCTCTTCTTCATTCGTCGCAGTTATCTCGTTTTTAGCTTTTTCACACAATCTCCTTGCTTTTAACTTAATAAATTCCATGTTTTTTTAAGAGCTCGGGGGTGGGGGGTGGGGGGGAATTACCTTACTACGTTCCCCTTATATCCACGCAGCATTGTAGAAGATTTGTAGAAGATTTGTAAAAGATTTGTAGAAGATTTGTAGAAGATTTGTAGAAGATTTGTAGAAGATTTGTAGAAGATTTGTAGAAGATTTGTAGAAGATTTGTAGAAGATTTGTAGAAGATTTGTAGAAGATTTGTAGAAGATTTGTAGAAGATTTGTAGAAGATTTGTAGAAGATTTGTAGAAGATTTGTAAAAGATTTGTAGAAGATTTGTAGAAGATTTGTAAAAGATTTGTAGAAGATTTGTAGAAGATTTGTAGAAGATTTGTAGAAGATTTGTAGAAGATTTGTAGAAGATTTGTAGAAGATTTGTAGAAGATTTGTAGAAGATTTATAAAAGATTTGTAGAAGATTTGTAGAAGATTTGTAGAAGATTTGTAGAAGATTTGTAGAAGATTTGTAGAAGATTTGTAGAAGATTTGTAGAAGATTTGTAGAAGATTTGTAAAAGATTTGTAAAAGATTTGTAAAAGATTTGTAAAAGATTTGTAAAAAATTTGTAAAAGATTTGTAAAAGATTTGTAAAAAATTTGTAAAAGATTTGTAAAAGATTTGTAAAAGATTTGTAAAAGATTTGTAAAAGATTTGTAAAAGATTTGTAAAAGATTTGTAAAAGATTTGTAAAAGATTTGTAAAAGATTTGTAAAAGATTTGTAAAAGATTTGTAAAAGATTTGTAAAAGATTTGTAAAAGATTTGTAAAAGATTTGTAAAAGATTTGTAAAAGATTTGTAAAAGATTTGTAAAAGATTTGTAAAAGATTTGTAAAAGATTTGTAAAAGATTTGTAAAAGATTTGTAAAAGATTTGTAAAAGATTTGTAAAAGATTTGTAAAAGATTTGTAAAAGATTTGTAAAAGATTTGTAAAAGATTTGTAAAAGATTTGTAAAAGATTTGTAAAAGATTTGTAAAAGATTTGTAAAAGATTTGTAAAAGATTTGTAAAAGATTTGTAAAAGATTTGTAAAAGATTTGTAAAAGATTTGTAAAAGATTTGTAAAAGATTTGTAAAAGATTTGTAAAAGATTTGTAAAAGATTTGTAAAAGATTTGTAAAAGATTTGTAAAAGATTTGTAAAAGATTTGTAAAAGATTTGTAAAAGATTTGTAAAAGATTTGTAAAAGATTTGTAAAAGATTTGTAAAAGATTTGTAAAAGATTTGTAAAAGATTTGTAAAAGATTTGTAAAAGATTTGTAAAAGATTTGTAAAAGATTTGTAAAAGATTTGTAAAAGATTTGTAAAAGATTTGTAAAAGATTTGTAAAAGATTTGTAAAAGATTTGTAAAAGATTTGTAAAAGATTTGTAAAAGATTTGTAAAAGATTTGTAAAAGATTTGTAAAAGATTTGTAAAAGATTTGTAAAAGATTTGTAAAAGATTTGTAAAAGATTTGTAAAAGATTTGTAAAAGATTTGTAAAAGATTTGTAAAAGATTTGTAAAAGATTTGTAAAAGATTTGTAAAAGATTTGTAAAAGATTTGTAAAAGATTTGTAAAAGATTTGTAAAAGATTTGTAAAAGATTTGTAAAAGATTTGTAAAAGATTTGTAAAAGATTTGTAAAAGATTTGTAAAAGATTTGTAAAAGATTTGTAAAAGATTTGTAAAAGATTTGTAAAAGATTTGTAAAAGATTTGTAAAAGATTTGTAAAAGATTTGTAAAAGATTTGTAAAAGATTTGTAAAAGATTTGTAAAAGATTTGTAAAAGATTTGTAAAAGATTTGTAAAAGATTTGTAAAAGATTTGTAAAACGTACTATACTTTTTCTACGCCCGCTTAAAACATTCCCCGAAAAGGATTTAACGTTATGCTTGTGTCGCCAATCCATAAATTTTCAATAGGTAATTTCGTAACTTTCTTTGGATTTTAGCGGTAACAAATTATGTGTGGCAGCTTGAGCTTTCCAGCAAACATATTCGTAAAGTTGAGAAAATGTTCGGATACAATCATATTTTGTTACAAAAATTGACAATATAAATGCCGTGACATTTATTTCCATAGCATGCTAAGAAAACGCGACTTATTTTTTGAAAAATTGTATAATATTTTACCGACATTTAGGGGCATCACTATTTTAATCCAAAATATATCTCGCTTATTCTTAAAGTTTTTATGTGTTTTAATTGACTAAATTTATGTAAATAGACCAAATAAAGTCGTACGTAAATATGATGGCAATTTGATTAAACCAAGAAATTTAAGTTTTCTTATCAAAACGCACGTGTATGTTATGAGATCTCATTACGTGCATGTTATTGTTAAATGTCATTTACAAGGAATGTTGACAGTGCGGTTTTTAACGTTTACTGACAGGAGCGTAGAAAAATATCCAAAAGCTGCTCCATAAAATAGCAGTAATTTGTCACTGCTTCTTTGTCGTAGCAGAAGCGGTTGTCACTGCTTCTTCAAAATCGCTAGCTTTACCTATCTCTAGTCTCTCCTCTAAAAATAGGAGATAGTGATCCTGACACAACCACAGAAGATTTCTCATATTCTTCATCAGAAGAAGAAAATGCTCTTTCTACATCATCTGAAGAGTCACTTCCTCCAGCAAAGATAAAATTATCTTGCGAGATAAAAGGCGCCCAAAAAAGAAATTGGATTTTGGTAAAATATATTGGTAAAAAAATGAAAAGGCATTACGGCGGGGAAATAACCGAAATTTCAGACGATTCCACCGGTCAAATTTAAAAAGTTAAATTTCTTAAGACAATGCCAGGAAAAACCATTTATTCTGTGGAGTATAGAAAAGGCGAAGATTATGTGTATCAAAGAATGATCGCAAAGCTCCTGGATAAACAAATAATGATGGGAACAGATAAGCGATTCTTTTTTTTGAATTTCCTTGAGAAGATTTCAGCAACTGCCATTGGTGATAATATTGTTGTTTTTTGGAATTACCCATTTTTTTATTTGTATTACATTTTGTGTTCCTCATTTATTTAAACATATATTTACTTTCTTATGTGCTGACTACTAATATACATACAATTTCCATTTAATGTGTTTTTTATCTAAATAACTCTTTTCCGTAGGTACCACTAATTTTTTTTCTTAAATTGTGAACTAATTAACCCCTTATATTGCCCGATTTGAGTTTTACCCTATGGGGCTATTTGGGTCAGCCAAAAAATAATTTTTTTGACTCCGCCGTCTATCGACGGATCCAATTTCCTTGTGTATTCTTTTAAGCTACTCAGTATCTTCCCATATACATCAAATGGAACACGTGTATTTCAAAAATATCTTTAAACAAATGAAAAAACTGTAAAAATTTAACCAAATAGCCCCTTTCTACGGTATATCTAAAATTCAATCTTCATTATATTCTTCGAAATCTATTTCTTCATCCGTACTTTCTTAATCATATTTAGTTTCTTCTTTCCTGAATTCTAAAACGTAGATTTTAATATTAATTATTAGCAGTTTAAAATTTTTAAAAAAATTATTTTTATCAGTATTTTCATCGGTTTTCATCTGTTTCTTCATTCATTTCAATGATATTCATTACTTTTGAAGGTCATTCTTCTCCGTCGAACCAATGAAAACCATATTTATTTTCAATTATTTTCCACCCACACAAAAAAAAGTGGTCAGTACATTTGACTAATCTTTTCCAATTGTAGTTCAAAAAGCGTCAAGTTAATTTCGAAAAGTATCAATTGTATTTTAAATTAGTCAATTTTATTTAAAAAAGTATCAAATGTATTTTGAAATTATCAGTTCAATTTTAAAATGCGTCAATTGAATTTCAAATTAGTCAATTTTATTTAAAAAAATTTCAAATATATTTCGAAATTATCAAACATATACAGGGATTTCATTTTAAAACTAGCCACCCAAAATAACTTTTAAAATATCTTTAAAACAAAAAGACACATTAATTTATATTTACGGGGGGACACATTTTACAAGTATCTGTAACCGTGCAGTTTCATCCCCTAAGCGGTGGTGAATATCACTTCTAAAATTTTAAATAGAAAGGGGTATCATGTGATAGCCCTTTTTAAAGGTCTCCTTTTTTCCAATCTTTTGACACATTATTTTTTTAAATCGGATTAATTTTTCACCAAGTTATAACCTAGAAACCGGAAAAATATTGAATTAAGATGCAGGAGTATAAATACCGAGATAAACAAGTTAGCAAAAAGCCTTGAATGTTTTTTGCGTAAGATCTTTTTGACCGTAAATTAAAACAATTTATTATTAGTAGATTATTGGTTTCGTTGTGTACTGA